GTAAAAAGTAAGGTGACACCTGTTTATGCAGCCACCCTGCACTGACAGCCTGTGAAATGAGATCTTGCAGTAGCAACGTGCTAAAAATAGCACTCAGTGTTCTTCTGAAACCTCTCTTCTATTGAATTAAATAAATACAAAGCTCTGCAGCTCCTATGAGTTTACCAATATAATATATATAGAATAAATATAATATTTAATTTATACTATACATATAATAATAAAACTGATATAGATTATATAAAATATATTTATTATTATAAATATGAAAATAAATATGTATTAAGCATAATATATATTAGACATATAAAAACATATATTAAACATATATAAACATATATTAGCCATATTATAAACATAGACTTTTATCATTATAAATATAAATATATATAAACATTATTATAAACATAAATAATTACATATCATTAAATATAAAGATAAACACATTAATATAAATATAGATATAAATATAAACATAGATTATAAATATAAATATAATATATAATATATAATATATAATATATAATATATAATATATAATATATAATATATAATATATATGGAAATATAATTTTATATATAGAAATAAAATATAAATATAATATATAATATATAAATATAAATCTTTATTATTAACTTCTACTTCATCCAGCCAGTTATGAATGCATCCAAGGCAACGTGTGCATGTTTGTCACCCAGAGCGTGGCTCTCTGAGTGCTTCTGTTCTGTGCCACTGAGAAGAAATGAGACCACTCACCCTTGCCCAGGCCAGAGATGGCATCTGTGATCACCACCACCTTGTTCTGCACTGCTGACTTGGACAGCAGCCACCGGACTGATTGGTAAATGTAAATAATTCCACTGATCCCCAGGAGCAGCAATGGCAGAGCAAGTACAGAAAGGATACCCATGGCTGTGGGAAACAAAAGAGCACATGAGAGTACAGTAATCACAACACACATTGATTATTTTTCAATTATTCCAATGTTTTCTGATCTAGAAAATCTACTGACAGCATGCCAAAGCAGCAACTTGAAACAGGAGGGAGGTGATTTTCCAATCAATGGTGTAATGTTGTTTTTTAATGAACAGGGCAATGTTGTTTCTTTGTCTGTTTTCCTCATCTTTGGTCAAGGCAAATCTTGGTTCCTTTTATGCTAAATTACTGTATGATGGCAAGGCCATAATAAAAGAAAAAATATATATCTGTATTTATAGGTGTATGTATATTCTATTATGCCTTGAAGCAAAACACGAAATAAACATTGAACTTTAATCACATTGCTATTATTAGAAAACAGAGAGAAAGCTTTTAATCCAAATTTCAGATAAAACTCACAACACAAGTCTTTTCTGTTCTAAAAGACAGAGAAAATACAATCACTTACCATGGCTATGAAGACTCCAGACACACACAGAGCATTCTATTGTATTTTTTCAAACTTCTTCATTACAGATTTAATTAGGATTCTTCAGAGTTTCACAGAGCACTCATTTGTTGGGTCTGCTTGCTCTGAGTGAGAGTGGCTATGTATGGCTGGTGACAGAGGCACTCCAGAGTAAATTTAGCCTGCCCAGAGTGATCTGCATGCCTGACCTTCCCACCTCACCAGCACAGAAAAGCTCCTGGTACAGAATCAACTCACCTCTAATAATACTATATTAATATTAATATTAAATTATAATATAATATAATATAATATAATATAATATAATATAATATAATATAATATAATATTTATTCTAAAATATTATATTTTATTTTATATAAGTATATAATTATATATTATCTATAAAAATATAATAATTCTTATATATAAAATATATATTGTATATTTATATAATTATATATAATTATATGTAAAATATATATTTATATAATTATAGATTTCATATATAATATAATTATATATATAGTGATCTATATAATATTATATAATTATATATAATTATATTATTTTTATATATAATATATATAATTGTATTTTATAATAATATATATTTTATACTTGGCAAAAATTAAAATTAATATTATATGTGTTATGGTTAGAAAGTTATGCTGTATTTATTTTCTTTAGTGGTGTGTTGAATATAGATTTAGGTTATAACATAAGGTTAAAATGAAACATTTCAGAAAATTGAAGAGAAACTGCGCTATGTAAGATTGGTGTTTTTCACATAGCTAAAAAAAAATGACAGAAATAAATCCATTTTTCAATGCAAAATGGTCGCAGTGTGCTGTAATGTAAAACAGTTTCTGCAAGGAAATGTAAAAACATTGAGTCATGTCAGGCCACCTGCAGCAACAGAGAGGAAATCCAATTTCTCATCATCCCTAAAGCCCCAGCTATCTTCTCTTACTTTTAAAGCATCAGCTTTTAATAAACAAATGAGCAGTTCTCTATCAGCAGCTGAGCCAGTTTGTTCCTTTCATGGAACATGATGTGTTATTTGTTTAATTCAGTCAGGGCTCTGGAAACATCTTTCCTGAAAAGTTGAAACATTAAAAAGAAAAAAAAGCACACACTAGAGTTGGAGGACATATATGAGTTCCAAGGGATTTGTTTCCAAATGAACTAGTATAAAGGTAGAATAAAGGTACAAGAAAAACAAAAAAACAGGACTAGGAGAAGGTCAATTGAGAGAACTATATAGCCCACAGTGTGTAAGACTGTAAAGATAAAATGCTATCATGTCCATAATGAAAAATTGTAAAGGAAAGCTGTCAGAGTCAGAAAATACAGAAATGCAGTGACTGCATCAACCCAAACACCCAAATCTTCAGAAGCACAGAAACCTGAGTTTCAGAAATACCCGAGAAATGTGTTGTGCACTGCCACCTTCAGAGCACTGCTGGGAACGCCAGAGGAACAAGAGTATTTAAAATTGTTCTAGAGGGTGATGCCTTATGCAGGCTGGCCTAGAACAGAGTCTGGGCAGAGATAAAGAATAAAGCAGGGATTTATTAAAGGGTCTCCTCAATGGATCCACCTTGGACAGCACAAGAGCCAGACAGGGCTGCACCCAAGATGAACCAAAATGGTCCCAAAATGCACGACCGGGCAAGGGGTCGTGCATTTTTATCAGTTCTGCTCCATTAGTTTATTGGAGTTAACTGTGCAGTTACAGCTTTAGTTTATTTAGTCCCATTCTCGTTGTTTTCTCTCTTTATTCCACCTTTGTGGAATTGTGTTCCCGGGCCTGCTGCAGCCAACACTTCCGGGTGCGGTCACGTGGGCAGCGAGTCATGTGACCTGCGGCGCTGGGCAGGAGGTGGGAGCGGGACGGGGGGAGCGGGTGGGGGCGTGGGACAGAGGGGACCCCGCTGTGGGGATGTGGGGTCACTGTGGGGCCGTGGAACCCCGCTGTGGGGATGTGGGGTCACTGCCGGGACTGTGGGATCCAGGGGATCCCGCTGTGAGGATGTGGAACCTGCTGTGGGGCTCTGGGGTCACTGCCGGGGATGTGGGACCCCGCTGTGGAGATGTGGGGTCACTGTGGGGGTGTGGGATCGATAGGACCCCGGTGTAGGGATGTGATCGATGGGATCGAGGGGGACCCCGCTATGGGGAAGTGGGGTCACTGCCGGGCTGTGTGATCCAGGGGACCCCGGTGTGGCGTTGTGGGGTCACTGCCGGGGCTGCGGGAGCCCCGGCATCGCCGGAGAGGCCGCGCGGGTTCGAGGGGTCTGAGCCCAGGGAATCGGGAGGGATCCGCAGGGACAAGCCCGGGTCTCCCCCTCCCCTCGATGCCCCCCCCGACGCACCCCTGTCCCCCCCAGGCCATGGCCGCCCCCCGCCCTCCCCGGGTGGTGCCGGGCGAAGCCTCCGAGAGCGACTCGGAGCCGGAGCTGCTGGTGGAGACGTCCGGGGAACCCCCCGGGGCCGGGCTGAAGGTGCCGGGCGAAGCCTCCGAGACGGACGAGGAGGAGGAGGAGCAGCGGAGGCCGAAGACGCCGCCGGTGCTGGCGGAGGAGCCGGCGGCCTTGTGGGGGGGCGGCCCCTCGCTGCTGCAGCAGCGGCTGCGGGAGGGCACGGGCCGGCTGCGGGGCGCGGTGGGCAGCGCGCTCCGCCACAGCTACGGCAGCGCCGCCCGCAGCCTGGGCGGGCTCGGCGGGGCCCTGGGCCGGGCGCAGGTGACCGCGGCCGCGGCAGCGCACTGCCTGCGCCTGGCCCGTCGCGACCTGCGGGCTGTGGCCGACACCATCGACATCGTCACTGCATGTCACCTCCTGCCCGACATCCGCGGGCAGCTCTGAGCAGCACGGCCGGGGCACCGCCTGTAGCATCCCCACTGAGCGGCACCAGCGGCGGCACCGACACCTGGCAGATATCCACGGGCAGCTGCCAGCAGCACTGCTGTCCTTGGCATCGCCAGTGCCATAGCGAGGTCATCACCAGCAGGACCATCAGTACAGCATCGTGCCGAGGTTCGAGTTGTGATGACATTGAGTCATGTTTGCAGCACCTCACGCTGACCCTGAAGACCTCCTCACCACGGTGGCGTCATCACCAGTGTACCATGGTGACACCAAACAGTGGCTTTGGCACAGAGGCTGCCAGCCTGGTGCCCCAGGACCTGCATGATCTGGTGACATCTTCACTGCTGGTCCCCTGGCCAGCTGCCGCCATCCCAGAACTGTAGCCTGGTGCTGGCTCATCACCATTGTCCCCAAATGCCACTGTTTTATGTGACATGGAACTGAATAAAGCCATGGTGGTGTCAGAGCCATGCTGGGGAGCTTGGCCAGCACTGTGAGGACAGTAGTGTAGCAGGACTGGGCACAGAGTAGGGTGACATGGGTGCTGGTGTCACATTGCAGTGGCCTTTGAGTTCACTAGTAGCCCAGGGGATGAGCTTGGTGGTGGCCTGGGCTGTATCCCACATGTCCCCAGCACTGGTACTGTCACCCTCTTGTGATGTCCCTGGTGCCCTCAGCCCCAACACTGTGTCCGTCCCAGGGGACACTGCCCTCGCCCCATCCCAAGAAGGACACACTCTGGGGCCAAACAAGGGTTTATTTGGGGGCACACTTGTACCAGAACTCCAGAGGACACAGGGAGAGGAGGGTGTGTGTCCCTGGAGGGGTCACATGTGGGTGTTGAGGCTGTCCATGTACTCCTGCAGAGCCTGCAGCCGGGCATCGATCTCAGCCAGCTCAGCTGAGGGCTCCTTGGAACGGTTCTCTGGGGAGGCAGTGCAGGAAAAAAGGGTTAACAAAGGTCTGGGTTGGGGTGTCCCTCAAATATCTAAGGGCTCAGAAGGAGCCTCACCTTTACCAGGGCGCTTGCCAGCAGTCCTGCACACTGGCAGCTTGTGGCTGGCAGCTGGGTGAGGCGCCTGGGGGAGAGGTTGGGGGTCACCAGTGACCTCCTGGTCACCCTGCTTTGGGATGGAGGGGTGGGGAACCCCAGAGGAGCAGCCACTCACCATACAGGGGCTATTGCAGAGTGAGGCGCTCAGGGGTCTCCGTGCTCGGGTCACTCTTCTGTCCCTGCCCAAGGAGGGGGTTAAAGGGTGCCAGAAGAGGTGCGCAAGCATCCTGCCCAACCTCAGCATTACCTGCAGGGCACGGGCTCGGGGGCTTTGCTGGCAGGGCTCCCTCCCTGGCGCCAGCTCCGGGAGCTTTCAGCTGCAGGGAGAAATGGGGATGGGGGAAGTTGAGGAAGGAGCCCCAGCCCACAGTGGGTGCACCCCCAGCCCTGTTCCTGTTCCCCACTCACCAGACGAGCTGCGCCTGTGGCTCCTGGCCGGGCTGCTGCTGCCAGAGGCCACTCCACGCCGCTGGCTGCACCCAAGGGAGATGGTGGTGAGGGGGAACATGGGGCTAAAGGGGGAAGGAGACCCCCCCCAAGTACCAGGGAGGGATGGTGAGGAGCTGTCAGCACCGCTTACTTTCTGAGCTCAGCCTCCTTCTGCCGGCGCTGCCGGGCCCTGACAAAGGCAGTGGGGTCGAAGCGGGGTGGGCGGGAGCCTGGCAGGGGGAGAGAGGAGGGGTCAGGGTGAGGGGGGGGCGAGCTGTGTCCTGTCTCCACTCCTGGGTGTGTCCCCAAGTGTCTCATACCTGCAGGTGACAGGGACTTGGGCGAGGGGCGGCCCCGGCTGCTCCTGTGGCTCTCCAGGGATGCTGAGCGTCGCTCCTGGGTGCGTGGGGCTGGGCTTGCAGATCGCTGGCGGCTGCCAAGAGGACCAGCACCATCAGGGGGGACAGGACACCCCACGGTCATGAGGGTCCTCCTGCACGGTTCACCCTGGCCTCACCCTCTCCTGCAGGAGGCCAGTTCAGCTGTCAAGTTCTTCACCCGCAGCTGCAGCTTCTGCTCTGACGCCTTTGCCTGGGCCAGCTTCGAGGGGGAAAAAACGGTTCACTGTGCATCTGGCAGCCCCTGTCCCTCCCCAGAGCAGCTCCCACCCTCCCCGCCCACCTCTGCAGCCAGCTGCCGGTACTCGCGCTGGTGCCGGCTCTCTGCTGCCCGCTTCTCCTCCAGGGCCTTCCACAGCCTGTGGGGAATGCCAGGGGGTGGTCTGGGGGTTCCCTCCTCACCCTGAGAGACAGGAACCCCCAAACCCTTCTGGGTGCGCTGGCCCCACTCACGCATCCCGCAAGTGCTGGGTCTCCTCCAGGCGCCGCGCGCGGAGCTGCCCCAGCTGCTCCTGCAGCTCCCGCACCAGCGCCACGAGGTCCGGCCGGCCAGCGTAGGGCAGCGGCAGCGGGTAATGGATCCTGGAGGAGAGCACGAGGTGAGGCTGGAGTCACTCCCCCGCGACCCCTGCCTGGTGTCCCCTGTCACCTATCGAACTCCACAGAGTAGACCAGGATGAGGTAGCGCTTGCTGTTGAGGGGGGAAGAGGTGGAAGGGGAAGGCCGGGTGACTGCCCCCACTTTCCGGCTGTGCAGGGTCTCCAGGTCGGTGAAGGTGAGCAGCTCCAGGCTGACGGAGTCGCTGCTCTGCAGGAAGTTGGAAAAGCAGGAGGGCTCGGTGAGACACACACCCCACCCCAGGCACCCCCAAAACGCTGTGTGGGGCAGCAGCACGGCCACACCTGTGTCAGTGCCGACTCCAGCATGCTGCAGAAAATGCCAAACTGCTTGAAATTCCCCGTTTTGCGGGTCAGGTCCTCGATGACTGCGAGGAGCAGACGGTATTTCAGTCAGAGGCAGCCATGGGAGATCCCTCATCCCCCCCAGGCTCCCTCCAGCACTCACAGGCGGCATCGAACTCGCCCCTCCACAGGTCGCTGGTGCCGTGAGCCTCCACCTCCACCCGCAAGGTGCTGCGGGTCAGGGTCACCCGCACCGTGTGTGCCCCGGGCCGGAAAGCGCACTCGGCCTGCAGGTACCGCGGCTCCGCCATGGCGCCGGGGGCTCTGTGGGCACACAGGGGCACCATCGGCACACAGGGCATCCCAGGCACAGCCGGGCACCCCAGCAGCACACAGGGGCACCCTCGGCACACAGGGGCACCCTTGGCACACCATGGACCCCAGCGGCACACAGGGGAAAGGGGAGCCCGGCTGGAGGGCTCGGGACAGCTGAGCTGCGGTGGGGTCTGGGCTGGTGAGGGCAGAACGGGAGCAGAATTATGGGAACGGACGCGGTGACAAGGGGAACCCACAGCCCGCTCACGAGCGGTGAGTGGACGGGACCTCGGAGCTTTTGTTGTCTCGGGCTCGATGGGGGCGGGCGCAGCGCGAAGGGGTGGAGAGAACACAGCGGAACAAGGGGAGAGCCGTGGGTTTGGGCCTGCTGCCTGCGGGGCTGTTCGGGGGTACCGAGGGAGGGGAGCTGAGGGTGGCCGGGCCCGCGGTGCCGCTCAGCCCACAGGTACCGGGACCAGCCGTGCCGCATCGGGAGAGCCTCACCGCCGGCCACGATCCGCCGCGCCTGGCCGCGCCCCAGTCCGCCGCACCGCCCCACCTCATTGGCCGGCCGCGCCCCGCCCCGCCGCCTCATTGGCTGGTTGCACCGCTCTCCGCCGTTCATTGGCTGCAGGCGCTGCCCGTCATCGCAGTGCCGTTAGCCGCTCCGCCCTGCCCGCCAGCCCCCCGCTGCCATTGGTTGTCAGACGAAGCCCGCCTCCTGCTCCCGCTGCGCTATTGGTTAATGGAGCTGTCGCTCATTTTGGGGCAGAGGTGGAGCCACGCCTGCCTGTTGTAGGCCCCGTCCCTTCTCATGCATCTGAGCGACGTGCCTGCCATTGATCATGGCCGCGGTCCGCTCTGACAGGCGATACGGAACGGAGCGGGTCACTGGGCCTGGGGCAGGAAATGTGGGCTGGATACGGGGCAGCACAGAACCCGAGGCAGTGCAGGAGGGCACCGACAAGTTGTGGAGCAACTGAGCCACGAACCTGATTTTATTAAGCAGTGAGAGACTGGGGGATGCCTCAGGAGGCCGCAGTACTCCACTAGAGGGCCTCGATGTTTAGGAGGATCCCCGCCCAATTGCAACGTTTCCCCCTGAACTGGTTGGAAGGGGCAGCCCTAAGGCTCCAAATCGCCCCCAGAACGTTGCAGGAGGCTGGCCCCTATAAAATACTGGGGAGGAGAGCACATATAGTATTCCTCAGCGCACCCCAAAATTGCCCCTGGGACTTCCAGCTTTGTCTCTTGGCAAAGCAGAGGCTTCTTTCACTCACAAGAGTCCTTAAGAAAGTGATGTTGGCTTGTAGTTTAGGAGTATCCTCCAAGCTGAATACTATTTCAATTATGGCGGCAGGACGGAATCCGGCTCTGGTCAAGGGTGGGTGATTTAGTGCGGTTCTGCTGGGTTAAAGTCATAGTTTATGTGCTGGTTTGTTGTTTTGAGAGGGTTCATATAGTTCCCACAGCCTCTCATTTAAATTCAGTCCGGGTGCAAGTCCTCAAGGGAGCAGGGGAAGTGGTTCCCGAAGAAAAGGGATACAAATCCGGGAAAGGAGTACAAATACTGAGTGTAATGGGAAGGGATACAAACACAAGGTAAAATAGTAACACTTAATCGCGGCAACTAAAGGCAAGTCCTAGAACTCTAACATTCAATATTTAACAACAGACCAACACTTCCAATTAAGACCCTATCAACGTCATTAACACCAGCTAGCAATTACTACTCTGAGAAAGCGCTCTCCTCTCCAGGGTTTCATTTCTCACCGCCGTGCCCCCCAGGCCAGCGTGTGCAGCCTCCGGGCGGCCTCGCTGAGGCGCCCGCGGTACTCGAGGCGCTGGTGCAGCCCCGGGGGAACAGATGCCATCCCCCGCAGCAGCCCCCAGCAGCCCGCCGCGATGGTGCCCGTGGAATCGCTGTCCCCGCCGTGCAGCACCGCCCTGGCACACAGCTCCTGCCAGCTGTCCCCCGCTGCCAGCAGCGCCTCCAGCGCCACCATGGGCGCATCGTGGCCGCTGCGGCCCGCCCAGCCGTCCAAAGCCCAGCGCAGGTACTCGGTGTCCCGCTCGGCTGGGGACGGCAGCGGTGGCACCCGCGGAGGGCCACCGCCTGCCAGGAGCCCGCGGGACTCCAGGTACCTGCAGAGACATGGGGACATCCAGGTCATGCTGCCACAGACAATGGGGTAACCAGTGAGGCTGGGGGTCACTGGGCTGTGGCTCTCCAGCAGCCCCTGTGTAGTCGTGATATTTTGTGAAAAATCCTTTCTTTGAGATTTTTTCACCTGAGAAGCCGAGAAACAGCTTTTCTCCTCAGGAACAAAATGTAAACAATGATTATCTGCTGCTGTGGAATGCAACAGGTGGATCTTTGATTGGTCTCATGTGGTTGTTTGTAATTAATGGCCAATCACAGTCCAGCTGTCCAGACTGTCTCGGTCAGTCATAAGCCTCTGTTATCTTCCTTTTCTATTCTTAGCCAGCCTTCTGATTAAATCCTTTCTTCTATTCTTCTAGTATAGTTTTAATGTAATATGTTTTATAAAATAATAAATCAAGCCTTCTGAGACATAGAGTCAACATTCTCATCTCTTCCCTCATCCTAAGACCCCTGCGAACACTGTCACGCCCCTGTGACCCCAAATAGCTGTGGGGACACTGGGGACAATCAGGAAACCTGTGGGATAGCAAGGCACTGGATACCAGTACCACCAAGAACACTAAATGCCCCAGGGACACAGAGGTCACTGTCCCCAAGGATGGCACCTCTGGCAGTGACATGAGGGACACTGGGTGCAGCAGGGACAGACTGGGCATCAGGGTCAGCAGTGGCACCAGTGACACCGCTGGAATGCCCTGCCAGGACTGTCAGAGAGCCTGCCTGGCACCAGTGGCACTAATGGACTGAGTCGCCTTTTCAGTATCCTCCCCAGCCCCTCCTTGTGCTCCCAGTGTCCCCCCAGAACCCTCTCAGTGCCCCTCACCGGTGCCACGTGTCCCCAAAGAACGGCCAGGCAGCAGCATTGTCCTCCAGGGCCAGCCCGGTGCCCTGCACGTAGTCCCATGCCAGGGGCAGGACCCGCAGCAGCTCAGCCCCCCAGCGCTCTGGGGGCTCACCTCGAGCCCCCAGTGCCCCAAAGAGAGCCACAGCCAGCGCTCCAAGGTACCCTGTGGGGACAGGGGCTTCAGGGGGGTTCTGCTGTCCCCTCCTGCCCTCCCCTGCCCTGCCAGGCTGGCACTCACCAGTGGGGTGGTGGTGGGTCATGCGCCCGCTCTCGATGCTCACCCGGATCAGAGTCGGCAGCTCTGAGGCGTGTGGGTACCTGCACTGGCACCACACCAGTCCCCACACCCCTGCTCCTGTATGTCCAGGAATGTCCCCATTCCCATTCCACCACCCTTGTCCCTGCTGTGCCCATTCTCCCAGCCCCATCACTTCCATGTCCCACTCTTTCCTGCTCTGTGAACCTGTGTCCCTCTCCCCTACTGCTGTCCCCATGTTCTCCGTCCCCAGCCTCCCAGCTCCAGCTCCACACGTCCCCAAGCCCTGGACCTTGTCCCCTCCAGCTCCACCAACACCATATCCCCACTCCTCTCCCTCTGACATCCTCATGTCCCTCTTACCCTACTCCCATCCCTTCCTGTCCCCTTCCCTCCAGCTCTGACACCCCCATTTCCCCAGCCCCAAACATCCTCACGTCCCCACTCCCCCAGCTCTGACACCCCCTTATCCCCATCCCATGTTCCTCCCTGTGTGGCATCCCTGTATCCCCCTTCCACTCATTCTGACACCCCCACATCCCTGTCCCCACTCCCCCAGCTCTGACACCTCCTTAACCCCATCCCGTGTCCCTCCCTATATCCCCCCTTCCACTCATTCTGACACCCCCACATCCCTGTTCCTACCCTGTCCCCATTACCTCAGCTCTGACACCCCTTTATCCCCATCCTGTGTCCCTCCCTGTGTCTGCCCTTCCATTCATTCTGACACCCCCACATCCCTGTCCCCACCTGTCCCTCTGGCGTCCCCTTATCCCCATCCCATATCCCTCCCCGTGTCCCTGCGTGGCATTCCTGTATCCCCCCTTCCACTCATTCTGACACCCCCACATCCCCATCCCCATCACCCCAGTTGTGACACCCACATCCCTGTCCCCCAGTGCCCCCAGGTGTCCCCAGTGCCCCCAGTGTCCCCGTGCCCACCTGAGGCCGATGGCCAGGCTGCGCATGGCAGCCCCGCAGCCGGTGCCGCGGGGGTTGAAGGGGATGCGATAGCCCTGGGGCTCCCCCGGCCGCAGCTGGGAGGTGCCTGGGGAGGGGACACGGGGGTGTGAGGCTCCCTGAGCCCCTCTGGCTCCCCCTGGCTCCTCGGGCCCTCCCTGCTCACCGAGGATGCTGCTGGGTCCGGGCTTGCGTCCTTCCATGTCCCCCATGGCGGCCACGTAGCGCTGAGCCAGCTCCTGCAGGAGGGGTTCCCCCTCCAGGCCTGTGCAGGGTGGGCGTGAGGAACCCAGCCAGGTTACCCAGGCTGGCAGGGAGAGGCCCCATGAACCCCCCAAAAATTAAGGGCGGGGAATAAGATCCTCATTGCACCACTCCCAGAAATGTGGGGAACACTGCCCCACAGAGCCTCCAAAACTGGAGGGGAAACAGGATGGGTTTAGTGGAGAAATGGGGAAAATCCCTGAGCACTGCAGACTGAGTGAGAAAGGGAGACCCTGCTGGGTTCCCAAAGGAGACCCCTGTGAACACCGTCACACCCCTGTGACCCCAGATAGCTGCAGGGACACTGAGGACAATCAGGAAACCTGGGGGGTGTCAAGGCACTGGATGCCTTCTTAGTACCACCAAGAACACTAAATGCCCCAGGAACCCCAGGGACACAGAGGTCACTGTCCCCAAGAATGCCACCTCTGGCAGTGGGAGGGGGAAATGTCCCCGTCTCCAGCACCCAGTATGGGATGAAGGGGCACATAAATGAGGAAAAACACAGACACTCACAGTCCCCATGCCACCCCCACCCAGAGGAAACAAGGATACACATCCCCCCAAGGCCCCTCAGAATCCCTAAAAGGTGGGGAAAGTGTGATAAAGATGCCCCAAAGCCCCCTCCGGAGCTGGACAATCCCATCAATCCTCCAACTGAGTCAGGGATGTCATGGGGACCTCCCTGACACATCCCAGGCTGTAAGGGGACACCCAGACACCAACCCAAGGAACACAACAGGCACCCCCCACCCCTTAGGGGACAAACAAGGACACCCCCTCCAGCGCCAGCCTGGGGCACAACGGGGACCCCACCGCCAGGGACCACTCCCTGTGGGTCACGGTGTCCCCCACCTGTGGCCAGCCCCTCGGCGGTGGCGAGGTGCAGCACGGTGTCATCGCTGACGGGCCACTCGGGGGGCTCCAGGCTGATGGCTGCCAGCCCCCCCAGCTCAGCCAGCTCGCCGTGGATCTGGGGGCCCGAGGTGCAGTACTCCCAGCGGGCACCCCGATAGCCCAGCGCGTCCCCCACCCCGCTCAGCACCATGGCTGCCTCGTAGGCCTCCACAGAGGGCACCCTGGGGGAACACAGGGCTCAGGGGGTGCTGGGGGAACCCTGGGGGAACACAGGGCTCAGGGGGTGTTCAGGGGGTGCCAGGATGTTCAGGGGAACCTGGGGGAAAAGAGGGTTCAGGAGTGCCAGGGTGAACCCTAGGGGAACAGAGGGCTCAGGGTGAACTCTAGGGGAACAGAGGGCTCAAGGGGTGTTCAGGGGTGCGAGGGTGTTCAGGGGGAACCCTGGGGGTACAGAGGGCTCAGGGGGGGCTCAGGGGAACCCTGGGGGAACACAGGGCTCAGGGGGTGCCATGGGAAACCCTCTCTGAACAGAGGGCTTAGGGGGTGGTCAGGGGGTGCCAGGGGGAACCCTGGGGAAACAGAGGGCTCAGGGGGTGCCAGGATGTTCAGGGGGTGCCAGGGGTTTCAGGGGGGACCCTGGGGAAACAGAGGGTTCAGGGGGTTCCAGGCAGGGTGTTCAGGGGGAGCCCCCTCTGATCAGAGGGCTCAGGGGTGAGCCCTCTCTGATCAGAGGATTCAGGGGGAGCCCTCTCTGAACAGAAGGTTCAGGGTGTTCAGGGTGAGCTCTCTCTGATCAGGGGGTTCAGGGGGTTCAGGGTGAGCCCTCTCTGGGCTCAGGGGTGCCAGCAGCAGGGGAAGCCCAGGGATCCCGGTGCACTCACGGCTCCTCCATGGTGCAGCAGCTGGGAACGCCTGTCAGGGTGAGGGCACGGGGCCAGGGCTGGCCAGGGGCCCTTAAGGGGACCAGAACACCCCGGGGATGTGGGTACAGGGCTGATATCCCCAAAACAAGAGGGAGAAAGCAGGGAGGGACTCCAGGGACAGAGGGAAAGAGAGGCTCCAGGGGCCCCAAATCTCTTTTTAGGGGCAAACTTTTAAATTGTGGTAACAAAGCATCCTCTGAGGGCACAAAACCTAACTTTAGGGTCCAAAGTGTTTTCAAAGTTTAATTTTTAGGACCCCAAGCCCTCTTTTTAAGATCAAAACCTTCTTTTGGAGGGTCCAAAGTCCTCTTTTACCACTCAAGTTTCCACTGGACTGCCTGAAGCCCTCTAGTCAGCCCCAAAGCTTCACTTCTTGGGGCAAGAGAGGTTCACCTCCATTCCAGGGCCCACAAGGTCATTTGTAGCATCTCACCTATTAATGCTTTTCATGCCCAAAGCCTCCATTTTGGGGCCAAAATCTTAATTTTTGGGCTTCCAACCTCTCTTATATCAACTGTTGCTTTTTTTAGGGCACAGAGTTTCGTGTTTTGGATCCCAACCCTCATTTATTGGACAGAAATCCTGCCTAGGCTACAAACCCACATTGGGATGGTTCTAAACCCCATGTTTCCTTCTGAAGCTCTTAGTTCTGGCTTCCTAATCAGGCTCCTTTTAGGCTACAAAGTCTCATTTTGAGCATCCAAGAATGTTTCAGCTCACAACTTCTCTTTTTGTGAGTTCCAAGCAGGGCTTTTCCTCTCCAAAGCCTTCTTTTCAGGCAATTTGGCTTTTTTCCCAGTTATAAAAAAACCCAACCAAACAAAAAAAAAACCCAACAACCAAACCTGCGACGGTGTTCACAGGGGTGTGAGGATGAGGGAAGAGACAAGAATGTTGACTCCATGTTTCAGGAGGCTTGATTTATTATTTTATGATATATATTATATTAAAACTATACTAAAAGAATAGAAGAAAGGATTTCATCAGAAGGCTGGCTAAGAATAGAAAAAGAAAGAATGAATAATAAAGGTTTGTGGCTTGAACAGAGAGTCTGAGCCAGCTGACTGTGATTGGCCATTAATTAGAAACAACCACATGAGACCAATCACAGACGCACCCGTTGCATTCCACAGCAGCAGATAATCAATGTTTACATTTTGTTCCTGAGGTTTCTCAGCTTCTCAGGAGAAAAAATCCTAAGGAAAGGATAAAAGATGTCTGTGACAAAAGCCCCTGTTCTTTCTTGGTTGGTCACACTCTACAGAAATTAAAGTGCTACCTCAGACAAGGTTTGGTTCTGAAGGCAAGTTTACTGTTTCATAACCATGAAATAACAGAATTCTCAGTAACTGGTGAAACCAGGAGAGGCACCAACAAAACTTCTGGAGGGCAGACTTTGACCTTGTCAAGAAGCTGATTTGGAAACTTCCTTGGGAAGCAGCCCTTAAAAACAAAGGGGTCCAGGAAGGATGGATGTTCTTCAAGAAAGTAAGCCTGAAGGCACAGCCGCAGGTGTCCCTGTGGGCTGGAAGATGACAACAGGCCTGGAGGAGCAGGGAACTTCTGAAGGGACTCCTGTTCTTCGTGTCCCGGCCTCACTGTGGGCAGTGGGCAGCACTGGGCAGGTTTCTGCAGTGTCTGTTTCTGGGGCATTCCTTACTGGGAGCAGCACTCAGAGCAGAGTCAGACTGTCACAGACATATTTTATCAAAAATCCTTTTGTTAGGATCTTTTCTCCTGAGAAGCTGAGAGGCCTCAGAAACGAAATGTAAACAATGATTATCTGCTGCTGTGGAATGCAACAGATGCATCTGTGATTGGTCTCATGTGGTTGTTTCTAATTAATGGTCAATCACAGTCAGCTGGCTCGGACTCTCTGGTAACTCACAAGATTTTATTATCATTTCATTCCTTTCTATTCTGTCACAGATATCTTTTATGAAAAATCCTTTCTTTAGGATTTTTTTTCCTGAGAAGGTTCAAGAACAAATGTAAACATTGATTATCTGCTGCTGTGGAATGCAACAGGTGGATCTTTGATTAGCCCATGTTAGTTGTTTTTAATTAATGGCCAATCACAGTCAGCTGGCTTAGGCTCTCTGTCCGAGAAAGAAGCCTTTGTTATCATTCTTTCTTACTCTATTCTTAGCTAGCCTTCTGATGAAATCCCTTTCTTCTGTTCTTTTAGTATAGTTTTAATGTAATATATATCATAAAATAATAAATCAGCCTTCTGAAACATGGAGTCAGATCCTCGTCTCTTCCCTCAACCTCAGACCCCTGTGAACACCATCACACTATTCCTTTCAAGCCTTCTGATGAAATCCTTTCTCCTGTTCTTTTAGTATAGTTTTAATATATAATTTTCTTTTAATATAATATATATAATAAAATAATAAATTAGCCTTCTGAAACATGGAGTCAAGATTCTCATTTCTTCCCTTTCTGACCACATCAGGGCAGTCTGCTGGTGCTCTTTGTGCAAGCTGCTCCCTGCCAGAGACACTTTTGGTACTTCCTGCACTCCTCTTCTTCCTCTCTGGCATTGCACAAGTCCCATCATCTGCTCCTCCCTCCTCCAGGCTGACAATCTGCCCTCGTCACTGCTGTGGTGGCACGAGTCCCCTGACCCAAGCACCACCCTGGTGTCCTCTGCCAGCTTGCTGAGTGTCCTCTCTGCCCCAGCATCCCCACTTAGGAAAGACATTAAGCAGGACCAGCCCCTGACCCTTGGGAGGAGCTGTTTGTTCCTGGCTCCATCCCTGTCGTGGTGTCACTGAGCAGCACCCTCAGGGCCTGGCCCTCAGCCCTTTTCAGCCACCATTGCCACATCCAGCCCATGTCCCTTCCAGTGACTTAAACTCCATATTTAAAATTGCTAGATGGGCACATGCAAGCACACAGCTTCCACAGTCCCATCACACAACCATCACGCTGTGGGTATTTCCAGCAGCTGCCTCAAAACCTGAGAAGGAAACACCCTGTAAATTATTCACACAATGTCACAGCCCACCAGTCAGAGGCATGATGTTCACTGGAAACTGTCATCAGGCTCAACAAAGGCACTGGATGATGTGTCAGGGAATTCTTTATGTTTTATTCTTGCCATAACTCTGGCAACCAGTCAAATATTTAGGCCCAAAAGATGTTGGCTAAAAACCCTTGAATTCTATATTAGGCTTTCACGAGTGGTGGCTGACAAGCCCTTAATTTTGTATTGTATTACTTTTCAATAATTTCTCAGCTCCCACCACAAGCTCCTCAAAAGGACTGGCTAACAAGCCACAAAACACTTCCACAAGCTCCCACAACAAATTTTAGTGTGAAGCATGGGGCAGAATCATTGCCATGCTTTGCCCAGACAAAGCAAAGGAGGAGATAATAAACACAGAAAAGGGAGAGAGAGAACAAAGCTCATCACCAGTCCATAGATCCCATGTTGGTTCTGCTGTGGATAGTCTGGAGCAGGGATTGCAAGACAAAAAAAGCCAGAGAGAAAGACGAAAAAGAGCCAGGGGGTCCAATTGGCTTCCCTTTATAGTGAACTTGGTGCCTATCTCTGACACAGCCTAAATTGTTTGTGCTGTTCTCTTCATGAATGCACAGCCAGCTCTTCTGGCCCTCTTGAGGACTTTGCCTCAATCTTCTCCAATGACCTTTCCTATTGCAATAATCAGAATGCTTGAGACAAAGCATGCTTAGATCTGGTCCTCCACAGCCCAACAAGGGGTTTTAATTCTGGCTTTGGCTCTTCTGCCTGTTGGTTCCAAACAGGTGGGGCTTTGTTCATTTCAGATGCTGTGCTGCTGCAGCATCCAGGCTGTGCTTGTCTCACATGCACCTCTGGGATGCTCAGCCCTCCACACTGACAGGTAAGAGTTTGTGATCTCCACAACCTGGCTCCAGAGGCTGTACTGCCACGAGCACCTGCCCAGCTCCCTCTCTACAGGCAAGGCTTGCATCCAAGCAAGGCTTGGTGCAGGCACCTCCTGGCAGATCCTGTCAGAGAGCCCTGGCACTGTGGCACTCCTGGGAGCAAGGTCCAGGCCTAAAGGACTGCTTCTCTTCCTCCTCCTTCCTGTTAAATTGCCACAGCTGGTGCTGCTCACGATCCAGCTGCAGAGATCACTGCCCCACTGTGGGGATCTGCTCCTGGCTCTCTCCCTGGCATGGCTCCTCTGGCTGTGCATCACCTTAATCCTGCCAGGCACAGCCTGGGCTGCTGCAGAACCTCCCTGACCCACCGTGGAATGGGCACCGGGTGGTGCTGGTGAGGAAGGTGTTGTTTCTCTCATTTTCACATCCGAGCACCTGGAGGAAAAAAAGAGTTATCTCTGCTTCAGGCATCCCTTGTAGGTTCCTCTGGGATTCAGGCATTTTCTTGGAGCCACAGAGAAAAGATTTCACCAAGGTCACCAGTGGTGAGTTTAATTAAGTCTTTCCACCATGTCTGCCACTGTCAGAGCAAGTCCTCATCTTTTTACCCCCAACGGCCTCCACTTCACAGAATCCTAGAATTTGGATGAAAGAAATCTCATTCCAATCCCCCTGCCATGGGCAGGCACACTTTACACTGTCCCAGGTTGCTCCAAGCCCTGGCCTTGGACACTTCCAGGGATCCAGGGGCAGCCACAGCTGCTCTGGGCACCCTGTGCCAGGGCCTCACCAGCCTCATAGGGAAGAATTTCTGCCTAATATCTAAATATTCCCTCTTTCACTTTAAAATAATTTCCCCTTGCCCCATCACTACACTCCCTGCCAAGGAGTCTCTCCCTGTCTTTCCTAGGGAATCCCTTTAAGTCCTGTTCTCTCATCTTCAAAGAGCAGATAAGAGGCACTTTGCACAGGGCAGCACCCTAAATCCCAGCAGGGAAAGCAGAACTGGAGTGGGATAGCAGAGAAATGACAGCACTGAAGGGTGCAGGAAGGAATTGTCCCCTGTGGCAGAAACACTCAGGAGGATGAGAGGACAAATGGATAAGTC